CACGCCACGCCACGCCACGCCACGCCACAGGTGTTCCTGCTGTACCGGTGAGGATGTTGAGATCGCAGCCGAGCAGCTTCAGCCCCAAAGGGTTTGCTGCTATCACCCTTGCTCGATGTATCGCAGGCTTCCTTGTCCGCAATAAACTAATCTGGCAGAACGGTTCAGTGGGGTTTACGGTTTCAGTGTGGCTACGGCCCTGTTTTTTCCTTGGTTCAGCTTGAAATTTGTGATTACTGCCATTCATTTTGAAGCTATTCTGTGTACATTATGGGCAATCCACTAAGGGTGAGATAAGGCTGACAGGAGCAGGGCACAGTTGGTGGTTTATGGGTCCAGAGTTAACTTCTGTGCCTGGAATACATATTAAGCTGTCTCCCATGGTAGGCCTAGGAGAAAATGAATGAAATTGTAGGTTTCTATTCTGCTATTGATGAGGCTATTTCTGCTGAGAAATATTATTCAAGTTCTTGTATGTGTCTGTCTGTAGAGCCACATGACTCCTGTAAAATCAGCTAAAGATTATCAGTGGAGCATCATGATTTTTACAAGGTACGGTTTCACATCTTATTTTAAAATAAGGCAGAAGGGTGGGGAGAAATGGAGGAATAGATAGATAAGCCCATTCCCTGTATAAAAATAATATATTCTTGTTTATATTCAGTGTTCTGAAAGGCAAGGTTAGCCTTTGGGATTGTTTTTAATTATATTGAAGTAAAAATATGTTTGGGCATGCCAAACTTTTATAGTCCATAATGAGTTTATTGCATATAATAATTATGGGCTCAGTAATTAAAATTTAAAAATTACTGCTACTTTATGTAATATAAATGATAAATCAAAGATTTCATTTGACTTTTTATAAGTTAAAACTAGGATGCGTCAGAAACATCAATCTTAAATATCATATTATGGTAATTGTATGTTAGGCTTCAAGTATGGGAGTTGCATGTTTATAAAAGCCTTTGACAAGTCAAAAGTATTGGCTAAGAGCAGAATTTCTTTTAATTTAGTATAATATATATGTTTTTAAATCATTTATAACAATAATTATTCAAGGGTTAGGTTTTTTTGTTTTTTTCTTCTTAGGGCCACTTCTCCAAACAAGAGATGATAGCAGTTTCTGCAGTTGCTTTACAGGATCACATAATACAGAGTCATCAGCTCCAGGATCTTTCATTAGCAGATCCTTTTAAGTCAAGGACAAGGAATACCAAGAACATTTACAAACCCGTGAACAAAGTAATATTCAGAGAAGTAGTAGATACTGGACTAAGAAAAAAGAGCTCTCACCGCAAAAACAAGGAAGATGCAGAAAAGGAGTATGTTCTTGATCCCAGTCCTCCACAGCTAACGTTAGGTAAATCATTATATTCTGATTTGTGAATTTTGTTTTTATTTAAAATAAAACTAAAATGAGGAAGATAAGCTTTCTGTTCAATAAGATAATTTAATGCTAAACAGCATAAAATCTTGTCTTAAAATTTGTCAAAATTCAGCATTTTAAGCCATCAGGTAAACAGTGGAATTGCCATCAGTGGCTTGAATGCATCTTTTCATACCTGAAATGTATTAAAAAATATTATTCTTATGACAGTAAGGTAAAAATGAAGAAGCTAGTGCATCTTGATGAAGAAGAATTCTTCATTAAGAGGCAGGAAGTCTTAAGCTTTTTGTAATATGTTTTGTATATTGACTGTCATCACTTTATTTACCTTATATTCTCAAGCAAATCAATGATTTTGATATTGTATTTATTTGGGGGAATGTTTTAGTATTAAGATTTTTTTTAAGCCTATTTGAAATGGTTTGTTTCATTCCATATTCAGTAAAAAGACATTTACTAGTGCTGCATTAAATGTATTCTTTGATAATATATACCCACCTTTACTCAAAGTTAAAAAGGGTTGTTTTTACAATAGTCCTGGGGCTAAACCTGGGAAGAATTAACACCTGTAGTTAAATACCTTTTTCAAATTTAGAAGCAAACATGCAACAAGATAAAAGTCACAGATGTGAGGGCTTGGAATGATGCCTGGTGAGAGAACTTGCTTTTAAATAGTATTATAATAATACAGTTGTACAGCAGCAACAGACAATATTGCTTAAAAAAATGAAGCCAAGGAGCATCTTAACAGACCAGGAGTCCAAACGTGCTTCCCACCTATCAGTTTCAGTCTTGTATTTCCCTTTTCTAAAGGTTTCTACAGTATTCTTGCCATGAACATCTTCTTGTCTCCATCCTTTCAGTTGTCTTGATAAGGCATTTCTTAAAGGACCTTCCGGCTCCACAGTTTGCAGTTTTAAGCATAATAAACTTTCATAGTCATTAATAATTGTTTTATTTATTCTTTTTCATAAAAATGCCCTTAGGCCTCTCTGAAGATCATGTTGCCTTCATTATAGTAACTGTCACAGTCGTCCCAGCTCTACAGAGCACTATGTAAATCAGCGAGGCTCCACACAAGCACAGGCATCTGCCTTCTGGAATTGGCTGAAGGTTAAGAGGGTAACATAAGATAATGCACAACAAGTGAGTGTAACAAGTGATAGGACAAAGGTAGTAAGAAAAGGTGATTATTACTATGTTTACATGGTTGTAGTTCTAAAGATGGGAGGGTTTTTTCTTTGGTTCGTTTTGAAGAGGAATTTGAAAGAAGAGAGGATAGTGGGGGGAAAAAACAGCAGAGAGGTACTGGGGTTAACGCAAATCTAAATAATGAGTGATTATGGAAGCTAAAGGTTGTGGTGGAAAAATGCAGCCCAAGTGTGAGCATGTTCTCTGCAATTATAAGAAAGACAAAGTATTTTCCCTCTAAATCACAGCATTGACTGAAATGTCGCATATGAATGGTTGTGCAAGTGATTTGAAAGAATGTGCTGAAAGATTTTTTTTAAATTGCAATTGTTTCTGGGTTTTGAGTATTAGTATTTTCACCGATAGTCTCACATTATTTTAAAATGCTTGTGTCAAGCTTTTCTTAATAAGAATGGTGTGGTTCAAACCTTACAGCTGTGAAACAACTTTGAAAATGTAATTTAATACAACTTTTTCTTCTTCAGTTTGTGGGTAATCAAACAAAATCTCACAGGCCTCTATCATTAAATTTTTATCAATAGGGACCTGAGTCCTAAAATCAAATAATAATAGTTTAAAGGTCAATGTATGTAATCACTTTGCTAATGTTCATTTTAGGGTAAGTAACTCACTTGGTTGTAAATGGGTGTGCCAGTAAATGGGTTGGGCTTGTAAACTTGGTGCATAAGGATGTAAGCTCTTAGATGTCCTGAGCTGTGATAAATGTAGGCTTTCATTGCTTCTATTTATTCAAACTCCTGCTTTGAGAATATCTTCATAGAGCCTTTTGCTTCAACCACATATCCCTTCTTGTGTGTCCTGCTGCCAGTTTTCCTTCATCAAGTATGTTGTATAAAAGCTTTCCTTCTAAGCACCTGTTCAGCCTGTCCCTCACAAATATCCCATCTGGTTTGTATTATTTAGAAGTTAGGTTTTGCCGCCAATCTCTTCCTATTTGGCAGCTTTAATCATCCATTTGTGAAAGTTTTAAATAAGCATTTTTTTCTTACCCTGGGGGTATACAAAAGGCTTTCCACAAAGTGATCTCATTGTCTTTCTTAAAACAGTCTCTGACCACAGTGCTTGGAAGAAAATCAAGGGTAGGCATTTTTTATGTTGTGATACTGTCTTTCGTGCTGTGACTGGTTTGTTATCTTGGTCACTTGCTGTGTATCCAGATTTTCTCACCTAAAGACCATCACTTGTGTGTATTGGACTATCAAAACAGGATCTTGTTTCCTTACTCGTTCGCTGCCAGATGAAACTTTATATATGTTTTTACTGCAACTTTTATCATGTGTTTTATAATTTGATTCGTCTTTTGTAGCAGAAACACTGATCTGTGCAATATATGCTCTTCAAGAACTGCGTGGTCAAGAAGGAGAGCACTCCTGCTTAGGAAAACTTCTTTGTCACTCAGCTACCAATTTCAGCAGTTCAGCGTAAGCTTTAAGCAAAATACATGTTCTGAACTAGTTTTTAGACTCTAAAAAGTTTGTGGAATCCTTCGTATTTCTCTTAAAGCTATTACTTTTCACCATCAAGAGCACCAGATAAAAGCATTTTACTGCACCAAAATTGACAGACAACGCTATTTTATGTTAATACAGTGTATATTTCATATTCTAAAATTATGATGCCGTAAATACATACGTATGCACTTTGCTGCTTGACACAGAGTGGTTTGAATTCTAGCCCATAGCCTGCAGGCAGAGCTGTGAGCTCCTGCACGTGTGGAGGTGCTGTATTTGTGTCTGGGTTTCGAGTTGTCCAGGAACTGAAAGCAGTGTGCCTCTAAGACAATTCCTATATGACCATCGATGTAATCTACAGAATTCATTCATTCAAATTTTCTTTTGATACTTGGGTTTACATGCATTGCTTACCTTTGACTTGATACCTTTACAAGGGTAACAAAAGTCACAAGGTGGGGTCTATGTGAACCAAACCATATGTAGAGAAAGCACTTTCCACGTAGTTCCAAAACCATAAACTGACCCAGCTTGAAATCTCAAAACCATCCTGTTGTTCTAAGATATGGAATCAAATTGATTTACATTTGAAGGATGTCATGACCTCACAAGGAAGTAGGTTAGGCACATAGTTCAACTAAAGGGAAGAAAGTATTCCTTATAATTCCTTCAGTACCTCACAGAAGTTCTTGAAAAAGATCAAAGACAGTTTTGTGCAAATTTTAAATGATTAACGATGTACATCTGTAGATAGATGAGCTCAGGAGCAGAATTTTTGTCTCAAAAATTAACAAATCCTATCCTAGAATAATGAGGTACTTGAGCAAGTGGATCACCAAAACCTCATTCTTTGGTTTGTTAGGATTCCTTTTCTCTTCATGACTAACTAGTATAATGGGTTTGGATATGCAAGCTGTCTGATGGGGTTTTGAAAGCTGATACAGAACAAATAAGTGCTGCTTATTAATGTCTGGTTTATGCGAAGATTTCAGTATGAATGAAAGAGCTGACCCTTTCCTTCCCATTTAGAACTAAAACTCTCATCTGGGTGTCATCAGCTTGCGTTCTAACTATTGCACATCGCTCTTTCTTTCTTGTTTTAGCAAATATCATTGAGGCCTTATCGTGGATTCACGTTATTGGCTTATTACACATACCTTGGACATTCCTCCATTCACTTTGGTCAGTCCACATAAGCTGCTTCCTCTAGTCTTCAAAGATGACAAAGATCTATCTTTTGCTGTACCTACTAGCATCTTTTTTTACTACTGAGATACTGACACTAGACTTTATCTGGCATTTGTGGGGGCGGGGGGGATACTGTAAGTAATTTTGCGGATTCCTTCTTTGAGAAGGCAGAGTTTTCATGTGGACATGAAGCAAGGCACCTCACAGTTATCATCTGAGATCAACAGAGTCAGCTATCACAGTGACACTATCACTGGTGCCTTATGACTGTCTCTTTGTTTCTTTATGCTCTTTATTTCTCTTGCATCCATCACAGTCTCATTGCACTTTAGTATTTTGCACCAGCAACAGTGTTTTATTATACCACTTTATTAATTTTTATTTTTATTTTAAGAATACAAAAATGCAATGGTGAAGAAACCTTCACAAATGAATTCTAGCAGAGATTTTGTTTATACTGATGATTTGAAATTATGTTATTGTGCGTTGTTACATTGTCTAGTTAAAAATCCCCATCTTAATGGCTGTGAAAAGGTATCAAAATAATTTCAAATTACTTGGCAAATGAAAGTTTACATTTTAAAAAATGTCCTGTATAAATCCTGTGTGTAAAAGAGGTTGTGACAATTACTGAATAGCTAATTAAGAGTAAGAAGTATGTTGCCTGCCAGTGGTTTGTCTGATGATGGATTTATGTGAAGCATCTGTATAAAGTATTTTTAAATAAGTGTATCATCAATTAATTTCACATGAAGAAAATCCATTGTCTCCATCTGCTGATGAGTTTTATTCAGCGATTTGTTGTTGTTATTGTCTACAGCTCAGAAATCAGGCCTAGCTGAGCCTCCTTCCTTGCCACTAGCTGCTGAAGGTTGGGTAAAAGTAAAGCAAAGATCTATATAGCATGAAGACTCCATACAGCCTTGTGCAGTATGCAGGGATAACTGTATACATGCAATATGCATGTATAACTGGATAATTTTGTGGACTACACAACTGTGTTTAAAATTTTTTTTCTGGAGTTACTGCTAACAATCATTAGCTGCAGGAAGAAAGGAAGGAAAGATTCTACTGTAAGACACCATTTAGCATTTAATAGCTGGACCCAGCTATCAGTGGCCAACTCTGAAAGTATTTTGGACATGACATGGCAGAGAAAGGTTGGTAGAGTTTGTTCACTTCTGAAGTTATGACAGTAGAGGAGAAGGTAATCAGCGTTTTTATCTGTTCTTGCAAAGTGGGTAGAGGCTATTTTCTGCTTCATTTAAACTCCTGTTAGATATGATCCTAACCTTCCTTCATCAGAATGGTAAATATTCCTTAATTATACAATTTAAGATATATTTGTTTTTTCACGAGTTCTGTTAATCACAGTTTAGTTCAATAGTTATTTCTACTTGGAAAATGGAAGTAGATGTACTCTTCACACCAGTCAGTCACTTTCTTAGGTTATCTGAACAAATGTTTGCATTTTACCTTGATGGCTTTATTCAATGCATGTGTGTAGCATAAGCATAAGTACATCATGCTTTATTAGGTTCTTTCATCTATCATCTTGAAAATATTAAGCAAAAGGGACAAGTGACTGATTGAAGAGGAGTGCTGCTTCAGAGAGGTGATGATGGTAATTAGAAGAATTATCCCAACTGCTTGCAAGTTTCTTTCCACAGTGCATTGTAGGGTGGTTTTTTCTGCCTGTTCTCCCTTTCGGCTTTTCTTGAAGACTTTTTACAGCCAAGTCTGTGATGTGAAGCAAGGTCTTTTAATAACCTTAGATATAGGGCTTTTGCTTCCTTTTACATCAACATTAACTGAAGGTGTAGTTGTCCACAGACAGGTGGGATGAATCTGGCAAAAGACCATTCTGCCAGTTTCTGGCTACCCTGAAAGTCTAAAGCTTGACAAGAGAGAGCAAAAGACAGCACTCATTAAAAAAGGTTACTTTAGATTTGGCACAAAAAGGGAAATGCCTCTGGAATTCTTTTTGTCCTCAGTGTTTCGTTAGCTTTCCTCCCTCAAGGGAAAAAAGCCACTGTATCTGAAAGCTTTCCCTTCAGCTGGCTGCTAGCCATTAATCCTTTTGTGTTTGCCAGCTCAATAGTGCACACTACTTGTTCTGGTTTTCACTCCTTTCCCAGTTTTTCCTTCCTCTAAGAGCCAACTGCCTTTTTTGTCCAACTCTGTATCTTTTGTCAGGGTGGAGATCATCAGCATTTGGTGGGAATTTAGGTCAGATAAAGGTGAAGTTTTCTTGTAGCCTGTGAACATGCTTTCTCTTTCGTTTTTTTGTGTGTGTGAAAAGCTGCATTTGATGTATATCACTTCTTGAAATTTAACATCTCTGTGGGGAAAAGGGAAAAAAAATTAATCAGCTTTCATTTTAAGTACTTGTTTTATAATCTTTTGCTCCAGTCAGCAGCAGTTGGCATTTCTTGCTTTCTGCCTCTCCATGTGTTGTTAACACAAAATTCACACATTGGTTTAAGATGTAATATATTAATTAATTTCTGTAGAAGACTAATTTTATTTTCACCGGAAAGACTGCAGTAGTAATGGAAAGAAACTGATGACCTTTCAGGCAGTCAGAATTTTTCTTGTCAGCATTTTTCACTTTTCAGCTTTTAGAATGGTTTAAAGTCAGGTTTGGTTGTTGGGTTTTTTTTCCTTTGAAAAACAAGTGCTGCTGATATGTTCCCATGTATCCCATATAGTGAGTACATTTTTATATAACTATTCAAGCATGTAATATGGGAGTTTTAATTAAACTACTTAAGTGAATATCTTAATGAATTAAATGTAATCATCTTGAAAAGTAATTTTGATTCCAGATTTTTATGATAAGAAATATAATTTAAGGCTATTTTATGATGAAGCACTTTATTACATTTTATTACCTTTTTTTAAACCATATGGGAAAACATGGAGCTATACATTTGTATACTAAGTGGGAATAGTTTAATTCAGAAATTGCATGCAAATATATGGAGATTTACAAAATTCTCTTAACATTTTAATTATAAAAATATGCATCTCAGAGTATTTGTGGACGGATGAATAAACTTTTTACATTCTGTCATCTATCCTGTTTTATCTGTTCCAATGATATGAAATATATTGTAATTGCAATCATTTTTTCAGGCATGGCTGAAAGCCTTTGAAAAATTTACAGGTAAAAAGTCTTGTCCTATGTGTAGAAAAGAGCAGTATCAGACCAGAGTCATACATGATGGGGCACGCTTGTTTAAAATAAAGTGCACTATTAAGTAAGCCTGACTTCTGCTACAGGTGTTGTCACTGGAAAATATTTATTTCTAAATCATGTTCCAAATGTGTTAAAACTTTAATATAATAAGAAACTAGACAGAATTAATGCACTACAAAAGTTAAAGCTTAAAAAAATGCATAAAATTGTTTCATATAAATAGCAAAATTATATAAATTTGAGTTTCCTCTTCTTGAGCAAAATTGTGTCTTACAGAATTCAAGCTTCCTGGAAGGGATACATTGTTAGTAAATGGTATAAAAACCTGAGAAAAACAGTGGCTCCTAAGGATGGCAAATTAAGAAAGCAATTCTTGGAGAAAAAGGTATATTGCATTTGCTTCTTTGGTCTGTTTGGTCTGATTCAGCTCCCTTAAATCAAAGCTCCTGAATATCAGCTTTCTGCCTTTTCATTTATTCCTTCTTATTCCTATCAAACAGGCAGCACTGGAGGCACCCGGTTCTTTTGTTAGTCTGTTCATTCCATCCCTTTTACAATGCAGAAGTAAGGAAAATAATTTAAATACTTAAAATTAAGGCCTGCCTTTTGCCTAGGCCAACAATAGTGGGTTTTTTGCAAGGCTGTGTTTCCCTTCTCTTTTTGATACATCACAGAAAACTCTTTTTTCCCATAGAATTATATGAAGGGGGTATAGTAAGGGGAGAAACAAATCCATAAACAATCATAACTACTTTTTGCTGTCATTGCTCTCTCACTGGGCACAGAACTGGATAGTTCCATTCCATAGCTTTGCCCTTCTCTGACTTGTGCTCAGATGTGAGTCAGACTGTACTAAATTAGGGTCCTGACCCCATACAAATGAGGCCAAATCAGGTGCAATCATTTTTCAATGACCCTGCTTGCCTTTAAGCACACAGCTGCTGCAGAGTCCCTGGGCAATCTTCCAGTCCTCCTTTACCAACTTCCAGCCTTCCCCCAATTTAGTAACAGCCAACCCAGCTCAGCTTTTCAGAAACAAAATCTGCTCTGATGCATCCTCAGCAATTACTAAACCGTCCCTCTCGGAAGGAGAGAAGTCATCTTCCAGTCCAGATTATCAAACAGCCTGGTTAACAGAGATGAACAAAGCCACACAAGACAGCCATTTAAATGTAGCTAGTGCATGCAACTAGGAGAATACTCTTACCTAAGTCGCAAGCAACATCAGTGGGAGGTTTAAACCAATACTTAAATCAGTTGTTTGTTTGTTCTTTAAATCACTGCTTTAGTTAAACAGAAGAGTGCTTGCAGAAAAAGGTGTTACTGTCTGTCATTATTTCTCACACTTACTTGGTTGTATCCTGTCGGACAAGAGCTTTAGAGGCAAAGACCTTCTCTTGCTGTATTATGCGTTTAGGTATGATGGTGAGATTGGTACCCTAGAGGTGATGGGGCAGGCTGTTGCAGCAAAACTGGTAGCACTGTTCTGCTTGCCTGGTAACAGTGGCAGGGGAGAGGGGGGAAACGCTGTTCTCTTCCTTCACACCGAGGTAGCACAACAGCTTACTGGTTGCTACGCTACCTTTGTAATCAATGCAAACTCCTTCCCTGTAACAGAGGAAATGAATATGGAGGTAACTGAAGAAAGCTAATGTTATACTTGAAAGTGCCCAAACACTTAAGTTTGGTTGAAGTGAATCCTTCAGTGGATTGTGACTGTCCTCAAGTAGCGTGGTGAGAACAGGGAACAGAAATACAGATTTTTCTGCGTGGGGAAACATGCTGCTTTCCCAATAAGGTTGTCAGTTTTCTGTGGGCTCAAGATACCATACTTAGCTATAAACAGGGTCTCAGCAAAGGGAAGCTGAAGAAGGCTTCTAAATACACTGAAAGTTGCAGCTGAGTGTCATTTGTTAAATTCAGTTTCACCGAACTTCAGATGGCTACGGCAGTCTACCAAGCAGTGGGCTAGTTTTTAGGGCCCCAACCTTAGATACCTGTTTGAGGGAGAGAGCCTGATAGACTGACCACATTTTGTCATGTGATTATAATCCATGGGAAGGTCTTCATTTACCATAGTTTCCATATATAGTCCACAGCATTAGGAAATCATTCTCATATGTAACACTTCAGGATTTTGCAGGGAACAAAATGGGCACTACTTTTTCATCTTCTATTAAGGATAAATTTCTAAAGTCTTCTCATATGGATTAGCCAGGCTTAAATGAACTCAGTACCAATGATGATTAAAGGATATATACTTATTTTTCTTAGTGGCTTTCAAGTGGGAATTGTAGATGAGTTTCCTGCTTACACTTTTAAGTGTTGGTTAATGAAAACATTAAAGAAATCTTTCACAAAGAGCTATCCATTTCCAGATGCTAAAAGGCTTTTCTAAAATAAAGTTTGCTACTCAAACTCGTGCTGCGCTTTTAACACATCACTCTAAACATCAGCATAATCGAATGGCATCATAATTGGGAGGGAATCTAATTTTTGATATCCATACCTCCTCTGGAAGGATCACAAAGGTTAAACAAGTTTCATAGGCTTGGATAGATATCACAACATAAAAAACAAGGTCTGAAATATTACTACTAGGAAGGACACATATTACTTGTTTCAGGGTGCTACAGTAGCCCTTACTACACCTATCATTAAAATTTTTAATAATCTAGATCAAAGGAGATAAGAAAGGTCACTGAAACCAAAGAAGGCTGCTTCTTAGCTCTACTATACACAGAAAGCAGGGTGTTGCTTCAGCATGCTAGGTAGCGCATTTCTTTGATCCTACCTATAAATGTCACTTCTGTATGTCATTTAATTGTGGTATAGTCTTTTATTGGTGCAATTAAATCTTTTCAAATGGATTACATTATCTCCAGCTTTCTAAGAGTCTTGCCATTGTTTAGGAAGCGAGGTAAGTCATTGTGAAATGATGTAGTTGACTTTAGTTTCTTCCTCCCTCCCTCCACATGATTTCTCCCAACAATTTTAATTTAAATCTCACCAAACAGTATAATGGTCCTGGAATTTGTTTAGTCGTTTGACTTCCTTTATCACATGGAGATGGTAAACATTCTGTTGCTAACTTGAAGTGGCTCCAAGCAGCAAAACTAAGGGGATATTAAACCAGTAAAAGCTTATCAACTGATTCATTGATATGCTGTAAATTCCAGCCTTTTCATTTTACTTTTGAGGGCTGCCGTAAGTCAACACATTAGTAAGCAATTTGCTGACATTGGATCACTTAAAAAGGCTTCCCTGTGGACAAAGTTCACCTTAGTGCTTTGTTTCATCGTTTTATTTTATCATAGCCTTGTGCTGCTGTACAGATGACTGATGTACTTTTGCATACCGATAGAGTATTTCAAATAGTCAGTTTATGCCATTCTATTCAAGTTTTAAGAAGTCACAGACATAAAGTATAGAGGTATGGTGCTTTCGGAAATAAATTCAATTAATCAGTTTCAGTTGTTCTAGGAAAAAAAGGTTATTCAGTATTATGCATTAAAAACCAGCAGGATTTAATATTTAAATCCTAGAACACATTAACACTAACAAATTATACAAAATGCTTATTTCCTTTCTGTTCAGACTGACAGTTTGCACCACTTTGCCAGTTAGCAAAAAAAATGGGTTAGATTTCAGTTACTTTTTATTTTTTCTTCCCAACCTTAGACTTTATTTGCTGATTGATGGATATAGGTTGGGTCAGGTCATCCTGCAGAAAATACAGGCATAGCTCAAAGCAGATAGTATCTTAGCAGCAGCGGAACTTACTAGATCACTGTCTCAGGCAGGGGAACAGTTTTCCTCTCTTTATTTTTACAGTTCCTGCTCAAGGAGACTCATGAGAGGACTTCCAGGGCCACTTAGTGAAACAGGGAAGAGAAAGACAAGTGCAAGCTGAGGGAAGAAATGGAGGGCTTCTCCCTGCTGAGGGAAAAAGGAAGAGGTGGCAGAGGCAGAAAGGGGGCACTACTGGCTTACTGCAACCCCAGCCCCTCTCTGACCCCTGTTTTCAGCTTGCTACCTTGGGTACTTTTCCTTCAAGTCCGGGAACTGATCACATATTGTGGTGCTCTCACGTCCACAGAAATAGACACTGGATAAGGGCAGAGTTAAAACATGGTTGCTTTTCCTCAAATTTTGGCTCCTGAGAGGCTATTAGAAAGCAGCATCGTGGCCACTCTAACTTTCTATTACATCCCCCTAGCTTCCTTATGAAAATAGTTCAGGTCTGTTCAAGTTTGATACCAATATAAATGAAGATCAAGCATAAATCAGGACCAAAAGTGTTTTGAAATGGATCAACCTTTACTTGATCTTGAAGAGAAACCATGAAGTATATAAGGTTTAGGTGTAATCTTACCCTGTTCTTCCTGGTCGGAATCAGTAAAAGCAGTTAAAATTGCAGTGTAGAGTAGATTAAGTTCTAGAACTTGGGTTCAGATAAAACAGAGGACTATTATTGCTTAATTAAATACATAACACATTAAAATATTAAAGACATAACCTGATTAAACTGCAGTGCATTAGTATTTCATGTCTCATTCAGGAAGCCCACAGTGTCATCATTTGGAGACCACAAAGTGTAAATATTGAAGGAGGCCTGTGGTGGGATTCTTGTTTGTTTTTTGTTTTACACATACCACTGAAGGTCAGCGTGCTTGTTTGCGTGGGATAGAATCAGAATTTTTTTCTTTCTTGTCAGTGACAAGTCATGAGGGGAGCACAAGATTACTCATCTGCTCTTTGCTAAGCACAGAATTCTCTCACAGAGTACAGAAGGGGATGCTGCTTTTTCTATCACATTGTGATTTAAATACATAGTCTATACAAGGGGTCTCAGGGGATTTTGTTTTTTTTTAAGTTATGTTGATACATCAGCATTAACTAACAAGGTAACTAAATCCGATTTATAGTGACAAATAGATACATCCTTTCAATATACTGTTGTGTTAGGGATTATTTGGAAATACAGTAAGTCATAATAGGTCTCAGCAGTGAATCAGGCCATAAAATAAAAAGAATACACAGGATCAAATCTAACGTCAAGAAGCAAACAACTTGCCTTACATGATGGTTTTCACTATTTCCCTTTCCTGGATGCTTCTAATGTTTGTCTCTAAAGTCTTTA